CCCCAAAACCCCAAAACCCCAAAACCCCAAAACCCCAAAACCCCAAAACCCCAATTAAGAAGAAGAAATTGGCTTAAAATAGTAAAAATAGATATGGAAGGAGCAAGAAGATATTTCGTAGGAGGAAACTGGAAGTGTAACGGAGCACTTGAGTTCAATAAGTTCTTGATCGAGGACGTAATCAATAAGCTTGAGTTTGACCCAGCTAAAGTTGGTAAGGAGGGGGTTTGGAATTTTAGAATTAGGAGTTGTAGTACCCGAGTTTCGGAATATCTTGCTGATGAAATTAATATGTAACCATGAAAATATAGATGTAATTGTTGCTCCAACAACACTTCATATCGCTATGGCCAAGGTCATGGTTGCCGATAATGTCAAGGTAGCATCTCAAAATGTCTCCCTCTATGGAACTGGAGCTTACACCGGTGAGATTGCTGCTGAGCAATTGACTGATTTTGGAATTGAGTGGGTCATCATTGGACATTCAGAAAGAAGAGCACTCTATGGAGAAGCTAATGAAACTGTAGGAACTAAGGTCTCTAATGCTCTTGAAGCTGGACTCAACGTAATCCTTTGTATTGGAGAAACACTTGAGCAGAGAGAATCCAACTCCACCAATGATGTCTTGAAGGAGCAGCTTGATGCATGCAAAGAATCAGTTAAAGATTGGAGCAAGGTGGTTATCGCTTATGAACCAGTCTGGGCTATTGGTACTGGTAAAGTTGCTACTCCAGAGCAAGCCCAAGAGACTCATGCTTATATCAGACAATGGATGGCTGAGAATGTCTCTGAAGAAGTAGGTGCTGCAACCAGAATTATCTATGGAGGATCTGTAAACGACAAGAACTGTGGTGACTTGATCAACCAATCTGAGATAGATGGATTCTTGGTGGGAGGAGCTTCTCTCAAGCTAGCTTTTCAGAAGATTGTTTCAACTGCTAGCGAACACCAAGGAACTCAAGAAAGTGCTTAGGTTAAAACTTCATCATTTTATTCCACACCAATAGTATTTGCCTGCAAGGGGTTTTGGGGTTTTGGGGTTTTGGGGTTTTGGGGTTTTGGGGTTTTGGGG